AAATTCCGACTTTAGCTTCAGTTCAGTTTTGATAGTGACTTGAATTGAATTCAGATACTATCAAAAAGCGGAATCAAAAAGCTTGCTTTGTAAGTTGTATGATAGAATAATGCATAAGTATGTGCACAAGTGAGGACCAGTTTGTGGAGTGTTTGTTTTAAGGTGAGGGACTGAGATGACATGTATATATTGAGTATTACTCGTCGTTTTATATCATGCACTCCATTCTTTCATTCACTTTCGCAATTCTTTGAGACTTTACTCTATCTGTATGAAATTGTTTTATTTTGACGATTCTCTCTGAAACAAAACTCTTCTTTGAGGGATCGTAACTTACAATTAGTATGAGAAAAATTTTAGACATCAATTAGATTTTCGATTAGATTCTATAACATTGAAATAATGATAATTAAAAGCAGAGTCATTTGATTAGGTGATTTTTTTTTTCAGATGAAATTCAATCCGGCTTTAATGTCAGCGTCTATATTTGCCCCACCCGTATCATTGAATACGGGAATTCAAGATGAAGTACTGAATTTGGCACATTCGGATAGTGCAACCAGCAGCTCATCGTGTGCTTCAAGGTACTTGTCATCCATTTAAGATTTATTGGGATTTTGAGTTTTCCGAGTCGTTTTCAGGCTCATCGTTTGATTTATGTAATGATAAATATAATCGTATTTGTTCACTTCAGTGAAATTTCGTCAGTTTTTGAGATTTTTCTGATAGTTCGTTTGAAAGTGTTGCATATCGGAATATTTCAGTCCTCAAAAAGCATCACCGGTGTTTACGAATGGCAACGCCAATGGCCTGACGGCTGGTCACTCTCCGACACGTCTTTCGGACTCGTCAGATCATCTCTCCGGAGGTACAGAATCGCCAGATACGACGATTCATCCACAAAAGGTTTGCGAGAACTGTGAAGTGCATCGTCATCGAATCCATGAACTCGAGAGATGCTTGGCTGCGAAACAAATCGAGCTGAAGAATACGCGAGAATTAATGCGGAGAATCAGCGCGATCGCAGGCTCGTTGCTGGAATCGTGTAGTGACTTTGATAAGCAGTGGATATCGCATTCGCGTAAGGTTTATTCGCAGATTCAGTCAGTGATTTGTAATATGGAATAGTCTCGATATTTTCATCAAAATTAGGTACATTTCATGTTTGAAATGCAATTCAATTGTTTTTTTTTTTGTTCACATTGCTCACTTCAAACGGCATTCGGTTCGTCGTGTATGCATTCTGGTCATCGATTCGCGGTGGTGAATGCATACGGAGTGGGAGTGTCGTTTTGATGTTAGCATCCTAAATTAGCTGATCACCGATCAATTTTTCCTTATCATTTTATTGATGATTTCGGATTTGCTCTTGCATTTGACATTGAAACACTGATCGTTCGTTGATTGATCGCTTTCAAGTGATGATCATTGATTGAATGAGCATTGATCGATTGATTGGCTTTCTTGATTTCAATGATTGTTTTTCTGCTTCAAATGATCTACCCTGAATTGTCTATCTCAACTCAACTCAACATATGTGCACGGCTACTTGTCATTTCATTCATCATGTATTTTT